GTGACACGACACGTGACACGACACGTGACACGACACGTGACACGACATGCCAAAGGAATGTGCTGGATCAGTCGGAGTCGTAGATGAACGCAAAATGGAGAGTCGGAGTCATGTTGACATGTTTGTAGATGTGTTTCTTTTCGACGTAATTCGTGAAGATTGAGAAAGAAAAAGAAAGCAAGCACAAAACCGGAGATTTGATCTCCCTGAGGTGGAATGCCCTTTGGTATATCAAAGGCTTCTGTGCTTAGCGACTTCAATCAACTTGGTGCCGAAGGGTTGAGTGACAATTGGGGGAGGGAAAGTTAAAAGACGTAAGACAGAACTGGACACATTTGACTTAGAGCAATGCCGGTCGACGTGAAAGAGAATGGCCAAAGTCTGGCAGACTTTGTTGAACAGATTCCGCATCAATTGGCAACACACTCCATTGAAGAAGTGGTCTGAGCAACCTGCTCTGCAACCCACTTTCGCAATTAGCATTTGGAGGCCATCGCATTTAGGTTGGAGGCATGAAGCGATGAGTTTTGCAATGTTTTGACGAGTTTTCCAGTTGCCAAGCATTTGAACTAGAGATGCCATTCGCAGATTTGATTTGTGAGGTAAGGGAGGCCAACACGCATTGGCCCATCATCAAGGCCCGAAGTAGGAAGTGAGTTGAAGACTTGACTGAAGAGTTGATTATATAAGGCAAGAGCAAGGTCCAAAGGTCAAAACAGCACATGCAAAAAAGGAAAAGAAAGAATGAACGGCTGAAAGCACAAAGGAAGCAAGGAAAGACATACATGTTTCAACAAACCGCACAGATAAAGGATCACAAGCATCATAAACAATGAACAGAAACTACATGTCTAGACGTCTAAAGGAACATAAGAAAACAAGCTAAGAAAGAAGGAGAGAAAGAAGGAATGAAGGAAGGAACAGTCTATAAACTAGAGGAAGGACACTAGTTTCATTTAAAGGTCTTGCTCTAAAGGTTACAGAAATATAGAACAAGAAAGGGTCCAAAGGTCTAAAGATGACGATAAAAAAGAAAGGTCTACAGGTCTGAAATGGTCTGAAGGAAAACAGAAGGACCATGAAAGAAGCGTTGCAAAAGCAACTAGTAGCTTCTTGTTTCTACTAGTAAGGCACTTGTTCCTAGTAGCTTCTTGTTCCTTCAAATGATGTGAAATGGAGAAAAAAGTTGAGAGTTGCAGTCTCCACTTCGCAGAGGGG